AGAGGTGTGTGTGTGTGTGTGTTGGGGGGAACGAGCAGGGAGGGAGGGTTATTTCCACTTTTATTCAGGAAAATAATAGTCCTGCCTGCCCTACGTCAACCGAAGTGTCATAAAAAAAATTGGCAAAGCAGCTGCTGGCGATCCCGACCACACACAGGAGGGCGATTGAATTTCCACTCGGTGGGTTTCGTGACTCACGGGCGGTGCGGGGCTGGGGGTCGCGGGGCGCCCGGGCTCCGCGGCCGGGGGAGGGAAGCTCGCTCCGCTTTAAATCGGGAAGGAAAGGTGAAGACGTCTTACACCCACACACCCACACACCCATAAAGAAAGGGGAAGGCATTTTAAAATCACACACACACAAACACCCCCCCCCCCCCCCAGGAAAGGTGAAGACATTTCTGTCTCTCTCATACACACACCCCCATAAAGAAAGGCGGAGGCGTCTTTGAATTACAAGGACACACACACACACACACACACACCCTCCCAAGGAAAGGTGAAGACATCTTACACATACACCCCCCCTAAGAAAAGGCAAAGGCATCTTACACACACACATAGACACCTAAGGAAAGGTGAAGACATCTTACACGCACACACACACACCCATCCATAAGGAAAGGCAAAAGCAGGGACACACACACACCCTTAAGAAAAGGCGAATGAATACGTCTTACATGCACACGCTCCTAAGGAAAGGCAAAGACATCTTACACACACACACACCCACCCCCATCCATAAGGAAAGGCGAAGGCATCTTACACACACGCTCCTTCCACCAGCTCCAAGGCGGATGGACCCGACCCGGACCCCCACCGGCCAAGGGGACCGCGGAGGCCGCCCGTCGCGGGGCTCCCGGTCCCGGCTCGAGCAAGCCCCGCGTGCAAGGCCGAGCAGGCTCGGGGCTGACTGCGCTGAGCTTAACCCGGGCACAAGCTCAACTGATCCGTGCGTTTCGTTCGTCGAAACTCTGAGTGTGGAAGCCCCTCCGAGGCCGCCCGCCGGC